ATGACCCATTGTGGTCCCTTCCAACCTCATTGGTTCTGGGTTTCTGTACCAGCTGGACTGAACCGTCAGTGTTAAGCTTTTGGTGTGATCACTCTTGCTGCTTCTTTCTGCACCATCTCGTTGCTATTATCATCTTACTCATTTCACCTGACATGAGTCAGGTCAGTTAAGTTAAGGGCATAAAAAGTGATTGTTTGTGTTTTAGTCTCAAAAATGGAGGGTCTGAGATCTCCCAGGACAGTGATCTGCTCTGTGAAGATGGACATAGAGCTCCTGGAGCAGGTCCAGGGGAGGGCAAGGAAGATGCTGAAGGGACTGGAGCACCTCAGTGATGAGGAAAGGCTGAGGGAGTTGGGGCTGTTCAGTCTCCAGAAGAGACACTGAGAGGGACCTCATGAATGGATTCAAGTCCATGAATGGGAAGTGCCAAGATGATGATCAGAGTCTTCTTACTTTAGAAACCAATAAAACAAGAGCTAATGGTCATAAACTGATGCACAAATAAAGCACAAGCAGTGGGAAAGAAACTATTTAGAAATAATACCTAAAACTACTTCCACAACTGAAGAAATTCCCACCTGAATGTCCCAGTAAGCTGGTCAGGCAGACTACTTTTTACAAGGAGAATTAAACCATTCTCCCACGGAATGTAACATTTACAGCATTGGCAGGTTTCAAAAGTATTTTGTATAGATCCCAATCTCATGTCAGACACTGCCTTTGGAATGATACCAGTGTGTTAAATCTACCTGTCTGCATTTTAAAGCATTACACAAAACATTAGCCTTCACATATGTGTTAGATGCCCCTATGTCCAGTTAGAGTTTTAATAAGCTTAGCCAAATCTGGCTGACAATTGCTGTTCTACAGTGTTAAACCCATGTAAATTGTGTGGAGATCCTCTGGGTTTGCTTGTATCCTATAAGCAAGGAAAAAACCCACCATAGTGCTCACCCTACCTTCTCCCTGAGACCTTTTTATTGAAAATAAAAAAGTAGTAGTAAGTATCAAGTAGTATGGATTAAAAGAAGTATTAATTCAGTTTTAAAGCCTTTAAGAACTCATATCTGATTTCATATTCTTGTGGATGAACAGTGGTGACAAGATGGTGATTTCTGTGGTCCTGTGCCTGTTGCTGGATTTTATTCTGTAATGTGTCTATTGTTCTTTGGTAGGTCCAAGAAGCCATTGACAGCAGAGATGGACAGTTCTGTGCAGAATTAGTATCATTTAAACATCCACATGTTGCAAACCCAAGGCTACAGGTGAGAATCTGGTTTTGGCTTTTGTTTTGCTTACAGTTTTTCTCTCTCTGTGGGTTCATTTCCATGGGAGATAAATCTCAGAGCCACACCAGGATCCCTTGTAGGTTTGCATCCCTTTTCTTCTTA